CCTTCATCAGAAAAGATTTTTTGATGAAGGGTCTAGGTCCGAAACGTCGGCCTTCCGGCTCCTATGATGCTGCTTGGCCTGCTGTGTTCATCCAGCTCTACACCTTGTTATCTCTTACTATAATTACTGCAATGTTTAACTTTTAACTTTGTTCTTAAGATTCTGTGCCAAGGTATTTTTTCTCCTAAGACAGCACCTTGTGTTATACGCTTTTCCAGAATTTCAGTACTGAGTACACATGACAAAAATCAAAATCCAATAAAAAAAAATCAAAAGTCAATTTTGACAGGAACTTCCCACATGTAACTACATTTCAACTATATTCTACAAGCAAGTATGATAAATTTTACGAACAACATTACTTTGGGTGCACAGTTCAGTGGGGGAGGGAGGGCGTGTGCAGCCCCAGAATAAGATGTATTCCCCCATTTAATACAGGAATAAAGAGCATTACTTTCTGTCCTGAGCCTGTCGCCTCCTCATTTCTAGCGGTGGACTACACACTCAATCCATACAGGCCAGAGTCTGGTCTCTGACGGACTGGGGAGGCCGGTGCTCACTAGAAGCTGAAGTTGGGACCACACAATCAGCTCAGCCACCATCTTACTGCATCGTACAGAGGGGCTGAATGGCCTCCACCCTGCCGGGCCCGACCCAACCGCACTCACTAACCTTGCTCCGTCGCTCCTCTCCCCATGCGTGTTGTAATTCACCGTCAGGATCTTCACCGAATCCTTCAAAGACACTGATCCACTCCGCAGGAACTCAAGCGTCCGCCGCACTGGAAAGCGACCCTTCATCCCTATGACTTCCCGCGGACAAGCTCTCCGCGCCTGCGCAATAACGTCATCGCTGACGACCCGGACACGTTCCTGTAGCCACGCCCCTCTCCTGGCGCTTGCGCCTTCCCGGCAGTGGTTGCCACGGAGATGGGGATGTCCCGTTGCTGCTGATCAAGGGCATTTTCCCAATGCCTCATATCAACCTCACTGCTCTCTAACTCTGTGCTTTACTTCAACCCTTCGTCGAGCATTCATAATCTTCAATCTGCTGGGATGATTCCAACATCCAGCGAATTTTCAGCGACCACCTCTGCCCGAGGGTCCAGAGGAAGACAAGAGCCTGCCAAGGGGTATAGACAGCCGAGTGGGCATGAAGTTGGCAGCTGAAATAAAACGTGAAATAAAATGTGTAGAGATAACAAGGTGTAAAGCTCGATGAACACAGCAGGCCAAGCAGCATCAGAGGTGCAGGAAAGGTGACGTTTCGGGTCTAGACCCTTCTTCAGAAATAAGATGTATACTTGTCATTTTGGGCCGGAAGAATAGAAAAGCTGTTACCTAATTCAATGGAAAGAGCTGGTAGAACTTGGTGGTACAAAGGGATCTGGGTGTCCTGGCATGTAAATCACAAAGTTAGTATGCAGGAGGTCAGGAGGACAAATTGTGGTTAATTGCAAGGGGAATGAAATATAAAAGTAGGAAAGCTTTATTGCAGTTGTACTTGTCCTTGAAGAGAGTACAGTTGGAGTTCTGTGTACAGTTTTGGTTGCCTTATTTGGAAAATGATCTTTATTCACGTGGGCATCGGTGGTTGGCCAGTTCTTATTGTCGGCTTTTATTGAACTACTGCAGTTTTTGTGCTGTAGGTTGACCCACAATGCTGTTAGGGAAGGAGTTCCAGGATTTTGACCCAGTGACAGCGAAGGAGTATTCCTAAGTCAGGCGGGAGACTGCCTTGCAGGGGACCTTGTTGGTAGTGGTATTCCCATACAGCTGTTGCCCTTGTCCTTCTAGATGGAAATGTTGTAGGTTTGGAAAGTGCTGTCTAAAGATCTTCGGTGAATTTCTACAGTGCATCTTGTTCTTCGTACAGACTGCTGCTACTGAGCTTCAGTGGCGAAGAGACTAGAGGTTTGTGGTTGTGCTAATCAAGTGGGCTGCTTTGCCCTGGATGATGTCAATCTTCTTACATGCTGTTCGAGCTGCGCCCATGAAGGCAGGTGGGGAGTATTCCATCAGACTCCTGACTTGTGTCTTGTAGAACATAAAACCGTACAGCACAGGAACGGGCCCTTCGACCCATGATGTTGTGCCAAACATGACACCAAATGAAACTAATCCCATCTGCCTGCCCTTGCATATTCATGTGCGTATCTAAAAGTCCCTTAATTGCCCTTATTGTATCTGCCTCAAGCACCACCCCTGGCAGTGCGTTCCCAACTCCTACCACTCTGTATGTTGCCCCTCACGTCTCCTTTGAACATTCCCCCCTCACCTTAAATGCATGCCCCCTCGTATTAGACATTTCAATTCTGGGAAAAAGATTCTGACTGTCAACCCTATCTATGCACCTCATAATTTTATAGACTTCTTTTAAGTATCCCCTCAGCCTCCGCCACTCAAGAGGAAACAACCCAACTTTTTCTAGCCTCTCCTTATAGCTCATACTGTCTAATCCAGACAGCATCCTGGTAAACCTCTTCTCTAGCCTCTTCAAAATCTCCATATCCTTCTTGTAATGTGGTGACAAGAATTGAACACAATACTCTCTGTGTGGCCTAACCAGTCTTATAAAGCTGCAGCATGACATCCTGACTCTTGTACTCAATTCCCCGACCAATAAAGGTGAGCATGCCATATGCCTTCTTTACCACCCGATCTACTTGCGTGGCCACTTTCAGGGAGCTATGGACTTGAACCCCAATATCGTTCTATACATCAATGTTGTTCAGAGTTCTGCCATTAACCGTAAAACTTTCCTTAACATTTGATCTCCCAAAGTGCAGCACCTCACACTTGCCCAGATTAAACTCCATCTGCCACTTCTCCACCCATATCTGCAACTGATCTATATCCCACTATATCCTTTGACAACATTCTACATTATCCACAACTCCAATGATCTTTGTATTGTCTACAAACTTACTAATCCACCAATTTACATTTTTGTCTAAGTCATTTACGAATGCAGAGGTCCCAGCACGGATTCCTGCGGAACACCAATATTCACGGACCTCCAGCCTGAAAAACACCCTTCCACCACTACCCTCTGTCTTCTAGGGGCAAGGTCAGAAATCACACGACACCAGGTTATTGTCCAACAGGTTTATTTGAAAACACAAGCTTTCGGTGTCTCATTCCTTCTTCAGATGTTAGTGAGAGAGGTGGTATCAGACACGGAATTTATAAGTAAAAGATCAAAGGTTCACACCACTGAGGAGGATGTATTAAACAAACCTAAGATGCTGTTAAATCTTTAATCAGTTAGAACGTTTTAATTGATTAATATGTATATGTAAGTTCCTGAATTCTTTCCAAGTTATGGTTCTGAGAGAACTAAAGGTTTTATCAGTGTAAAGAAGAGATGACATTTTGAGTCAGACAATGCATGTTAGGTGTGAGGCCTTGTTTAGAATCTCTTTGTGCTTTAGTTCGGAGTCAGACTGGTTTTATTTCTAAGCTAGGAATTTATAAAATGCCACATTGAATGACTGTCTATAAATTGTGTGCTTTTTGAACAAAATAAAACATATCTGCCAATACACATTCATCCCGTAGATTCACGTGTGTGTGTGCCATGCAGCCAAGTCACCATGGATCCCACGCATCTTAATCTTCTGGATAAGCCTAACTTGTCGAAAGCATTATTAAAATCCATGTAAACAACATCCACTCCTATACTCTGAGTGATCACTTTTGTCACCTGCTGGTCTGCGTTCCTGCTTCCTCTAGTAATGTGGCCAGTCATGATGCCCATAACCGACTGTACAAGTACAAATGGAAAATTTCGCACCAAAAATCACAGTACCCAAACACTACGGACCAGCAATGGACTACAACCGTGGAACAGGCCATCACCATCAATCAACACAGGTCCAAAACTAAGAAGAGACACAAGCTACAGGAGAAACTTACTAAACTGATCCACCACAAAGACAAAGACGACAACATACCGGACACATGGATAAGAAACCTATCCAGCAGACAACTCACAGAAACTGAGAAAGCTGTCCTATTACACAGACTGAACTATAACCACAAAGATGCGAACTTCATGGCTGAGATAGTAGGAACTGCAGATGCTGGAGAATCTGAAGAATTTTCTGAAGAAGGGTCTAGGCCCGAAACGTCAGCCTTCCTGCTCCTCTGATGCTGCTTGGCCTGCTGTGTTCATCCAGCTCTACACCTTGTTATCTCAGACTTCATGGCTTCTCTGGAAACCACATTAAAAGACAACAGACTCACAGACAAAACACAACAAGGCATCCAACAAACTATAATCCCCACACTAAGCCAAAGGAACAAATGGGACACCCTGAACGATCAGAGAGAAAAGCATAGATAAACTCAAGAAAGACAAGAACAAAGAGCGCATGACCGTCATTATGAATAAATCGGACCATGTTGAGTAAGCAGAGGCATTGCTCGCAGATACAACCACTTACCAACAGGTGGCGATAGACCCAACACCGCAGCTAGGAAATAGGATCACCCAGACACCGAAGAGACGCAAGGATGCAGGACAGAAAACCAAGATGGACTACAGGAGAATTCAACCAGAAGGCACAAACACCCCCCATTTCTATGGGCTTCCTAAAGTACACATACCAGACATCGCCCTCAGACCCATTGTCTCTTACCAGGCACACCTTCACACAAACTTGCCAAGGACCTACAACAGAGATTGAAACACCTAATCGACGGATCACCCCATTCCATCCACTCAACCCAAGAATTCCTCAATACCCTCAAGAACATAAAAATCAGCAACAATGAGATATGGTATTCTTTGACATCACAGCTTTATTCACATCAATCAACATCCCACTCGCCAAAGAAGCAGTGGCCACATTACTAGAGGAAACAGGAACACAGACCAGCAGCTCCATCAGCAATGACAAACACTCAAACTACTAGATTTGTGCCTCACCACACATTTCGTCTTTAATGGTCAAGTATACAAACAGATCAATGGCACACCCATGGGGTTACCCATCCCAGGATTCATCGCAGAGGCAGTCATGCAAAGACTAGAACACTCCCCCTCTCTCAACCTAAACTGTGGATCCGGTATGTGGATGACACGTTTGTCATTATTAAACGCACCAAACTAGAAGAGACCCTACAGCTCATTAACAACGTAGTCACCAGGATTAAATTCACGAGGGAAGAAGAAAACATCAATCAGCTTCTGTTTCTGGAGTTGAAATGTATAACCAACAGGGAGTTCCAAACCTTGGTATACAGGAAAGCAACCCGCACTGACCAAATCCTCAACTTCCATAGCAACTACCCCAACGTCCGCAAACAAAGCTGTGTTAGGACAGTATTTAAATGGGCCACCACTCACCAGAACTACGCAGGAAAGAGGAAGAGCATCTATACAAAATCTTTGCTATGAACGGATATCCCTGCAACTTCATCCGCAGGTGCCTGCTATATAGACAACAACAAGAGGACACAGTACATCCTAACACACTGGCCACACCAAAACATCAAGAACATATCAGAACTGACAACGAGACTCCTACACCCACTAGGAATCATGGTAGCACACAAGCTCACAGCCACTCTATGACAAACACTCAAGGATTAAAGACCCCATTCCCACAACATATAGAACCAACGTAGTTTACAAAATACCATGCAACGACTGTCACAAGCATTACATCTGACAGAGAGGAAGGAAACTAGCCATTAGAACAAACGAACATCAGCTAGCAGCAAAACGACATGACAAACTTTCCTTAATATCAGTGCACTCAGACAATGAAGGCCATCTGTTTAACTGGGACAATGTAACCATAGCAGCCCAAACCAAACATAGTCATGCACAGGAATCCATGGAAGCATGGTTCTCAACCCATAATACAGTCAATAAACATATAGAATTCGACCCTCTTTACAAACCCATACAGAACAAAACAAGAAATGACACTACTCACCATAATGGACCAGACAGTATAAATTCCAAGTGGAGTAGAACATCGCTTCATCGGATGCCTCACTGATGATGTTACCTAGCATAGTACGAAATGTCTGACCGAAAACAAGCCAGCTCGGCGGCAAGCAACCTCACCCACAACCAAGCTACAAATCTTTGCTAAAAACCTTACACTAAGGATGTTTGAAGTGGAAAACATAGACATTATTCAAGAGGGTCTATGGATACGATATGATGGCACCTTATGGTTCGCAGTGAGGGAAAGACGCTCATAAGCAGAACTCTGGACTGATGTCGACAAATTAACACAGTGATAACGTGCCCATACCCAATTTATTTGAATGAACATGCACTACATGGCTTCAAGACAAATACCAGCCTAAAGTGTCCCATAGAGTCACTGACATAATCCGTGTAACCTACAGGAGAGAATATTGCATAAAAACCTCACTTATCTCATATCATTATGGGATAGCACAATGCAATGTCACCAACACCACTTTCTGTATTAGGCCACGCATTCTGTCAAAGTAGGCCGAATTCAGATGATAAATATACACAAAAGGGAAAGGGTGGAATTTAATGCAAATGAGGAACTCCAGCAAACTCTGGGTGAATACCTGGGGAAATAAAACAATGGTCTCAAACCCCTGCCAGAGGAGTTACACCAAATCTGAACCCGATTGTCCGCAACGCATAGAAACTTCAACAAGGTAATACAGCAGGCCAACTATGTCAAACATCAAATAAAAGAAATTAAAGTTATAATTTGGTGGGAGGATTTCTGGGACTGGGGCTCCAACTTACAAATCCATCCCTGGGTTTGTCTCACGTCACATTTGCCTGTGCTTTTAATCCTGGTTACCCTGGTATACCTCATCATCCTCACTGTCAAATTCAGCTGGTGGAAAAGAGAACTTTTGCAAAGACTGAACATAGAGATTTCACTCAATTCATTGCAAGACTATTTTTATGTGTTCTTACATTGGAATTATCTAAGCCTACAAGCTAACTGTTACTGTGCAGTTGATTACATCAAGTCTGTAAATTAATTACATCAAATTTACAATTCAATTAGCCAGGCATTTTAATTGCATCAAATCGCTATATATCACATATCTACTAATCATCTTAAAACATCTTATTCTATGATTCTGTGAGATATTGCATTAGAGGCTTCTTTACCTTTGTATTATAGGTTCTTTCTACCAATCCATTCACAAGCACTCTATATTTACTACTATCGCATTTTAGTTCATACATAATTTTACTAACCACTCACCAACACCTTATGGTTACTATTACCGTATTCCATTCATTCATTCATAAAGCCGCTTCCATGAAATTGAATGAATGAATGAGTGAACCGGCAATAGTAGTGAAATCCCAAGACTCAGTTTACTAATATTTCTACTTTTGTTAAGTGCTTACCTAATTCCCAACTTAGTTAAATCATTATTTTTCTTTCTGTAGTATTCTCTAACATAAAGATAAAAGGACTAACATTTCTTTATCCTATGGATTATTTGTTCATGGGTACGAACTTTGTTTAATCACTTCTGTATATGACCCTAATTTTCTAATGTTTGATCATCACTATGAATTCCCAATGTTTTATTTATTCCTAGTTTACCACACTTGTTTGATTAGCTGTTAAATTTGAATTTTGATGTTCTATTCATGTAAAGTCTGATGATGTTGCTTGATATCAGTTCGGTGTCATTTCCAAACATGCTATCTCTAAGAGTTTAGTTGTTTAAGTGTATGTTGTGCTTTGGATGATAATAAACTCACCATACGGAAATTGGTCTGTGATCATGTGATCCATCACACTTTGCATTCAGGACCAAGACGAGGGACTATAGCTGGACGGGCCACTCAAAATGGCAGAATTGGATAATAAAGAATTCTGGGAAATTAAGCCAAGCATTGGCCAAAATATCCTGACAAAAAAACACTGATATAAACAAGCTGCAGACCCGGGCAAGCAAGCTGCAGCTGCAGATAGCACAATACACAATTGACTAAGCCTATTTACCAGGACTATTTGGGGCAGCATGGTGGCTCAGTGGTTAGCAATGATGCCTCACAGCGCCAGGGACCTGGGTTCAATTCCACCCTCAGGCAACTGTCTGTGTGGAGTTTGCACGTTCTGCCCGTGTCTGCGTGGGTTTCCTCCAGGTGCTTTGGTTTCCTCCCACAGTCCAAAGATGTGCAGGCTAGGTGGATTGGCCATGCTAAATTGCCCATAGTGTGTTCAGGGAGGTGTAGATTAGGTGGATTATAGGGGGATGGGTCTGGGTGGGGTGCTCTGAGGGTCAGTGTGGACTTGTTGTGCCGAAGGGCCTGTTCCCACACTGTATGGATTCTATGATTCAGGACAACAAGAGACACTGAGCTGTTTCCGGAACAAAGGGCCTGACACTCTTATCTGGGAAGCCTACCTTATGTGCCCCTGACACTTTCAGAAATGGAGGACCAAAGACCAGCCCACCATCCGCATGGCACTGCCTGATTGGCTCCAGTCAATCAGGGGGATCCATTCCTGATCGATCCATTGGTAGTATGGTGATGTTTGATCTTTCCAAGTTGAGTCAAAATACAAGATACTGACTTTGATTTAGTGTTAATTGTCAGATTTATAGTATTATTTGTTAGTTTGCAGCATAATTGTTATTATAATATTAATTATCTTATAATTAATAAAGATCATTTCCTATTACTATTAAGAGTTGACTCACAGCCCTTTGCAGGATACACAAGAAAAACACACTGCATGGTGAGCAGAACAAAGTTCATTGATGAAACAGCTGAAGATGCTTGGGCCTAGGGCGCTAACCTGAGGAACTCCTGCATGGATGTCTTGGAGCTGAGATGACTGACCTCCAACAACCACAACCATCTTCCTATGTGCCAGTTATTACTTCAACCAGTGGAGAGTTTGCCCCTTGAATTCCATTGATTCCAGTTTTGCTAGGGCTTCTAGATGCCACACTCGGTCAAATGTGGCCTTGATGTCAAAGGCTGTCACTCTCACATAACCTCTAGAATTCAGCTCTTTTGTCCCTATTTTAACCAAGGCTGTAATGAGGTCAGAAGCTGAGTGGCCCTGGTGGAACCCAAACTGGGCGTCACTGAACAGGTTAGTGGTAAACGGGTGCTGCTTGATAGCACTGTTGATTATACCTTCCATCACTTTACTGATGATCGAGAGTGGATTCATGGGGCAGTAAATGGCTGAGTTAGATTTGTCCTACTTTTTGTGTACAACATATACCTAGACAATTTTCTATATGATGTCAGTGCAAATGTCAGTATTGTGGCTGTATGGAAACTTGTCTAGGGCTGTGGCAAGATCTGGAATACAAGTCTTCAGTACTATTGCCGGAATGTTGTCAGGTCCCATAGCCTTTGCAGTATCCAGTGCTTCCAAATATTTCCTGATATCACATGAAGTGAACTGAATGGTCTGAAGACTGACATTTGTGATGCCGGTGATCTTAGGAGATGCAATAACAATCTTTATAAATCATGTTGTGTTACCATGGTGTTGTTAGGGGGAGATTTCAGTATGTTGTGAAATAAACTGTAAATCTACATGAAGTTCCAGTTGGGACAGAGGCACCAAGGGAAGCCTATGGAGGCAAGGCCAAATCAGTGCTGAGGCCACA